CAGAGTTATCTGTATTTAGGCGGTTCTAGTGCGATAGCCTGATGTATGTGCATTGGTGCCGTTATTGTTTGGTTAGCTTAGGTTTGCAGATGTATATGCATAAGTGACGTACTTAATTGTATGGTTATTAGGTAGATTTATGATAGACTGGAGTTTCTCTAATGACCTTGCCGGCTGATATGTTGGAATAATGTCTTCGAAAAGTATGCTTCATTATGATCTCCGCGCCTAACATATATATATGAAAATAATCAGCATTATCACCTCTACAACATACTAAAAATTTAAGGTCATCGTGTTTGCTGAAACAATTACAACCTCATCACATTATTCTAACATCTAACATATCAGCCCGGGTCTGGCGGGCAAGGGCGTCAAAGAAACTCCAGTCAGTCATAAATCTCCCTAACCAAACAATGACGTCACAAATGGATTTAGGTAGAACTCCAAACAGCCTGCCGTATTATTGCCTATTTAGTATTAGCTGTAATACATTTCCGATTACTATTTAGGAAATGTATAGATTTTCTAGGAAAAATGTCTAATATAATTTATTTCATACATTTCCCGGCGATTTTAGGAATTATATACATTTCCTAGGAATTGTATATAATGACTGATTTCATACATTTGCGGTAACATACAAAAATTAAATTTCAGAAATGTTTATTTTAAGTTCGTGATCAGATTTTGATAAGTTTTACAATTAATTTTCTGAGTCTTCTATTTCTTTAATAGGATGTTGATGATCAGTACATAGGATAGTACAAAATCACTGTTGAAAAATATAGACATATGCCGGTTGCTTAAAGGAGTGAAACTGGTGTAATTTGAAACATGTTACAATATGCCCTTCGAAATAGTTACAATAAGCCCTATAAACCTTTTAATACAATATTAAAACTCAGTAGGTACATTTCGAAACTGTGTGTAAAACTAAAACATTAAAATTAATTCATTTTACCAAATCAATATTTTACCTTATCTGACTAAAATGAAGCACGTGGATTCATCTACTCACCGCACTGTTACCGAGAGATATCTCGCATGATATAAGAAAGAAAATTTGAGCCGCACATATGGTCTCGTAAAATTCAGATTCCCACTAAAAATTACGCGTTACTACTTACCCCTTTTACAAGAAGCCCTTAATTTCCCTCTGCGATTATATAGGAAAATATTCAGGTGTGGTAGGCGAATATTCCCACCACTGAACCGTGTATACTTGGTATAAATTATTGGAGAAAAAAATATAAATGTATGTAACTCACCATGGGTGGCGAATGTTCCTTATTAATGTGCCACTAGTGTCAGATTAGACACGTCCTGCATACTGTCCACCTACCCAATTTAGACAAAATAATTATTGGAGCACAATTAAGCAAATAACCTAGCAGTTTTCACAAAATGCCTAATAAATACTTTAATAAGGTAAAACCAAATAAACTCTAGCTTAATTTATATTGCAAGGGTACTTTATATTAAGAAGAAGTCACGAATACAGTCGAACGTCCAATGAAATTAAAGCAAGAACAGTAGAAATGGAAAACCCTACAGAGTAAGCAAAATGTTTGATTATTAAGTTAGGTTATGGTTGTCGAATTTTTTTTGACGTGACAACGTGTTATAATTCGATGCAGCCGGCTGCACGCACGAAAAAACATGACTCATGCGGCGTTACCTCGCTCTGAGGCGTTCCATTTAAGGCTTGAAGTTCAAGCGAGAGCGCGGAACGAGCGACAAAGAGGCACAATCGGCCTCCGCGTTCGGCAGCGTTCGACATCTGTCTCTCTCCTACTTGAGTGAGCGA